GGCTATTGGAAACATCCAAGTCATCGTAGACAAGCTCATGAATGAAGTGGTAGGTACTGCAGCAGCAGACAAGAAAGCTATTTTGGGGAGACATTGTGGAAATAGAATTGATAGTATGCAGTAATGGGGGTGAAGACAAAGAAAAAAACACAACTGTAAAGTTTCAAGTATGAGTAATAAGTAATTTTGTAGTAATAAGTAATAGAGATCCAGTGGAAGGAGAGGGTTTCCCAGAGATGTTTCACTAATTGTAAAGCTTCAGTAAGCGGAGGTCTGCCCTGCACTCACTTACGGATGTGGAGATGCGGGCTCTTTTAATCTTGTGTCATCCCACCTTAACATGCAGCCTCCACTCTCCCTAAAGGGGCAGAGGGAGTTGGACTGTTGTGCACGCACTTTTCACTTCCTGAATGTCCCTGTGTTCACAGCACACGTGGCCAGAATATCCCATGACCCTGACCAAGTGCACAGGGTGGGAGAGCAAACTGTACTTAACCACTATCAGCTAAGATAAGCATTAGCAGGTGTCTACTTCTTTTGCCGCTGGCTCACTTAGACAGAATATCCTGTTGTGTCACGTGTTTTAGAGAGGACAATGGTTCATGACACATCGGTGCATTGAAAGTGAAGGAGGTTATGTAGCAATGTTCATAGTTCAAGAGAAAATCTAGAAAATCCAAGCCAAACTGGAATTCCTAAGGGAAATAATAAAATACTTTTGAGGGTGGAAGTCTTTTAATTATGTAGGGTTGGTTGCCTGAAAATATCCAAATTCACTAGGAGACCATTGGCAGTCCATTTCATTTAGATCTGGGTAAACATCGGAAAAACCACCTCACTTGTCGACATGGTTTACTCTTATGAGGGAATAACTTCCCTTGGCAAGCCGTTCTCGTTAAAGGGATGGCTGGTATTCTCTCTCCCTGTAAAGTAAATCTAGTGGTTGGTCAGCACAGGCAAAACCACGATCCTGTGCAATAAAAGTAGCCTTTCAACTGAAGGTTAAGGTTAGTTTAGGTTGCATTGTTACTTACCAGGCCAAGTGTTTGTCTGTTGTCTCTCAGCTAAAGCTCCACCACTTCTACACTCTCCACTGAACTGCTAGAGCTGAGAATTGGCAAACAACACTGCTATATTTAGGCTTCTGGCTCGCCTGCATCTTGGATGAAATCAGAAAAGCCTGGACAAGCTTATAGCTCAATGCAAGGAGACCACCGGTTGCTTTCTCTGAAGCTGCACCTGTGGTGTATCCAATCTTGGCTTTGGACCCCCAAAATATCTTTCCTGTATGCTAGCTTATTTCTGAATTATCTCTGCTAGTGCCTTCATTTAACATTTGAGTAGTATTTTGTATTCTTTTAAATCATGGCTAACAGGAAACATCAGAGATAGTCAGAACTGGAGATGATACTGTAGTTCAGCTGGTCCAATAGCTTTCCCTGTCCTGTCCTCCTTTTCTTCCCTCCCTCCCTCCCTCCCTCCCTCCCATCCTTTCTTCCCCACTCCATCCCCTCCTTCTTCCCTTCTTTTCCTTCTTCTTCCCTTTTTATTTTATTTTCCTTTGTTATTTCTTTTCTTCTTCTTCTTCTTTTTGATGCACAAATGTTCACAGACATCAATCCCTTAGCAATAGAATGCAGATTCAAATGCACAGTTTATGCTTCATGTTCTTTGATACCGAATGGGCAGTCACTCAGTTCACTATTCCTACTTTTGCTGCTACAATCTATTTTCAACCAGATTCCCATTGAATTACGAGTATGCAACTCAGGTGACAGGCATGATGAAAACAATGAGAACAGTTGTCTTTGAAGCAGTGATTACAATCCACAATCCAGGAAGAGTGGAAACATGGCCTGAAGGATTGAGAGCCTTTATTCGCCACAGTTACAATCACTCCTGCCTGAGCCGTTGTTGTTATTTTATAGTCAACATTAATGCTCTGGGGGAATATTTGGTTGCCTGGAAACAGAAGCCCATCACTGAATTTATTAATATTCAGCAAGTAGGCTTTTATGAGCCTTATTATATGAATTTTCTCCTTTGATCCTAATTAACAGGTAAATATCATCAAATGAAGCATTTTCAAGAATTTATGGAGCTGAGTTTGAATTTCCAATTTTCTCTTTCTATTCCCAGCTCTCCTGTTATTTAGGCTGCTTTCTCTGGATTCTCATGCTGATTTAGAAACCAAATGACGTAAGGTGTGTTCCTGGAAGAAGGAAAAGTGGTGCAGGCCAATGTTCCTTAATTTGGGGTGGGGGTCGGGGGTAATATCTACCAATTTAAAAGAGAATTGTTAACGTTTAATTTAACTCTGTAGACGCAGACCTAAAATTCTGGCCGGAAATGAAGCTAGATCTTGTGACTCTGAATTAAATTTATGAACATCACAGATGTGTTTCTTCATGAGTGGTAAAGGTAAGAAATGCACAGGCAACAGCGTGCAGGTAAAGAAGGTGCTAACAATTCTTAGACAGTTGCTTTCATGGTTTACCATTGTAGCTCTTTGTCCATCTTAGCCAAAAGATATTCTTTAGATGGTGTTATTGAATTGTATTCCTCCAAAAAGTTATGTTGACATCCTAAACCCTAGCATTTGTGAATATGATATTATTTAGAAATATGATCTTAGCAGAGGTAATCAATTTGAGATGAGGTCATTAGAGTGAGTCCTAACCCAATATGACTGGTGTCCCATAGGAGAAGGAGAAGAGACACCAAGATAGAAACGCTGGGGAGGACCCCATGTGCCGAGGAGACAGAGATGTAGGGTAATGCGTCTATAAGCCAAGGAATGGCAGGGATTACCAACACCAAAAAAAGCTAAGAGAGAATCATAGAACAGATTCTCCCCTAGGGCCTTCAGAGAGAGCCTGGCTCTGCCAACACCTTGATTTCAGACTTCTAACTTCCAGAACTGTGAAAGAATAAATTTCTGTTTGTTTGTTTTTTTAAACAGTTTGGAACTAAGAAAATCACTGTATGTTTCACATGGTTTAAGTATTTGATTTATTCACAAATACTAAAATTATAACATTAAAATGAAGAGTTCTCATAACAAGGATCTGTGACTAAATTTTCTAGTTCAAACATTAACAAAAGTAGGAGTACTGCCAAATCTGGAAAAAGGTAAATCTTTCTGGTAAATTTGATCACAAAGTCTCACTAAATTTCTATCCTAAAAGGCATTTTAAGGAGAATTTAGTTTTGGTAAACATAATCTATAGGAAATAAAATCAACTAGAAAGTTGAAAAGAAAAAGTACATGCCTAAGACATATCTTTCACTTGATTTTGCATTGATTTATCTTGAGATTTTTGGTTGGAGACATGTCATTAATTCATTAATTCACTCATTATTTAAAAATGCATTCATAAACCATTCCTTAAGAATACACATATGGAGGAGGAGAAGATGAAAAAAAAAAAAAAAAGAATACACATATGATGTTTTATAGATGTTTTGTTCTTCTTATCTGTCCTCTTAACCTATGATTTCATAAATCAGACTTATCAACATCTGACAGATATCCACAGTATCAAAGTAGTCACATGTTAGAGACTCTAGAGACACTATGTCAGTTACCAGGAATTTTTCATTAGTTTTAAAATGAAATAGCTCACACATTTAGCTAATATAGTTCTATTATTATAACATGAAATGGGGTATAGTATCCTGAAAGAATGAACTCTTGAGATGAAATCAGAAAAGCCTGACAACTTATAGCTGGTCTTACTGGTTCAACTTGAAATTTGGAGCTTTGGGAATGTAACATTACATGCATTATAATAGAGTCATGAATTCTTGATTTGCTCTAATTAAAACCTTATAATAATGGATGCTATAAATTATTGGGCCAATGTTTTTAACGTTAAAGAATTGTAGAAACTTTAAAAAAATAACTTTGTAAAAAAAAATTAGACAAAAGTCACATATCAGATGGTTGGAATAAAAGATTGTTGTCACAATATAAGGCGATAATAGAAATGTAAGTAGGAAGTTATGTCATTGATAAAATTGCTAGCAATTTATCAGGAAGAGATAATCATACATATTCAGTACTTCTCAAATCTTTTTTTTTTTTCTAACAAAGAACCACAATGTAAGAATTAATTTTGCCAGGTTTTGAGGATGTAATCTAAAGTGATGCCCACAAAAGCAGAATTTCTTTCGAATTGTATTAATTTCAATATCATTGAAAACATATTCTATTGTATGATATAACAGTTGTATTATTAAAATAACTGTAATTTATTACCATGGAGCAGCAGAATTAATTATTGAGAAAGAACGGTGAAGTGGACATTATTAGTGCTACCCATATCTGGGTCTCCTCCTTTTGGGGGGTAGTAAGAAAGCTATATCACACTACCTAGTGCCCTGAAGGAGGCAAGGCCATGTGACTCTTGTCTTAGTGGATAATGAACAGGAGTAATGTGTATCACTCCTACACCAGGTGATGAAAATGCCTCTCCCCACCTTCCACCCATGCATTCCCCTCATGCCTTCCCCTCTGGTGGAGAGTGTGGAAGCAACATCTGCAGGCAATGCAGCCACACAAACAAAACAAATTGGATCGCTCTGCCACTGAGCAGGAGTCGAGTGGATAGGTCTGGAGAGTGCCCAGCATAGAGCAGACTTTTTGGGCATTTAAGAGAAAAAATATCATAAGCCACTGAGATCTGGGGTTGATTTGTTATCACAGCAGCCCAGCCTGACTGATGAAATACAATAATGTACACTGCTTGCTTCCGTGAGTCTCCTGGCCCACAGAAGGGTGTGTAGCTAGTATTGAAAGATAATTTGAATTATTTCTTCCATGCATTCCCAATAAGATAGAAACAGAAGTTTTAGGAAAGAATTATAGGGTTGGCCAAAGCATAGTGAGTCAAGAATGTCAGGCTAAGAAATTTAAACTTTATTCTTTAGGCACTTGGCAGCCATCAAAGTTTACATCGTAAGATGCTGGATCGATTTAAGCTTCACTTTGGGAGATTAATATGGTGTTTGGGTATCCAAGTGAAAGAATTGAAGCAGGGAAAGTCCAAGTCATGGAGATCACTGAGAAGGCTATTGGAAACATCCAAGTCATCGTAGACAAGCTCATGAATGAAGTGGTAGGTACTGCAGCAGCAGACAAGAAAGCTATTTTGGGGAGACATTGTGGAAATAGAATTGATAGTATGCAGTAATGGGGGTGAAGACAAAGAAAAAAACACAACTGTAAAGTTTCAAGTATGAGTAATAAGTAATTTTGTAGTAATAAGTAATAGAGATCCAGTGGAAGGAGAGGGTTTCCCAGAGATGTTTCACTAATTGCAAATCTTCACTAAGCGGAGGTCTGCCCTGCACTCACTTACGGATGTGGAGATGCGGGCTCTTTTAATCTTGTGTCATCCCATCTTAACATGCAGCCTCCACTCTCCCTAAAGGGGCAGAGGGAGTTGGACTGTTGTGCACGCACTTTTCACTTCCTGAATGTCCCTGTGTTCACAGCACACGTGGCCAGAATATCCCATGACCCTGACCAAGTGCACAGGGTGGGAGAGCAAACTGTACTTAACCACTATCAGCTAAGATAAGCATTAGCAGGTGTCTACTTCTTTTGCCACTGGCTCACTTAGACAGAATATCCTGTTGTGTCACATGTTTTAGAGAGGACAATGGTTCATGACACATCGGTGCATTGAAAGTGAAGGAGGTTATGTAGCAATGTTCATAGTTCAAGAGAAAATCCAAGCCAAACTGGAATTCCTAAGGGAAATAATAAAATACTTTTGAGGGTGGAAGTCTTTTAATTATGTAGGGTTGGTTGCCTGAAAATATCCAAATTCACTAGGAGACCATCGGCAGTCCATTTCATTTAGATCTGGGTAAACATCGGAAAAACCACCTCACTTGTCGACATGGTTTACTCTTATGAGGGAATAACTTCCCTTGGCAAGCCGTTCTTGTTAAAGGGATGGCTGGTATTCTCTCTCCCTGTAAAGTAAATCCAGTGGTTGGTCAGCACAGGCAAAACCACGGTCCTGTGCAATAAAAGTAGCCTTTCAACTGAAGGTTAAGGTTAGTTTAGGTTGCATTGTTACTTACCAGGCCAAGTGTTTGTCTGTTGTCTCTCAGCTAAAGCTCCACCACTTCTACACTCTCCACTGAACTGCTAGAGCTGAGAATTGGCAAACAACACTGCTATATTTAGGCTTCTGGCTCGCCTGGGTTTTTACTGGGACATCGGAAGGCAGGAGAAAAAGAGACCGTTAATGCTTCTGGGTCTTGAAGGTGGCGGCCGAGGCGGAGCAGCAGAGATGCGGCGATTTCAGACTCCAGCAGCCCAGGCAAGGCTGCGTGTTTCCACCTGTTCAGCCCTTGTGAAGAAGGCGCTTCCTTTAGCGGAAGTGGCCACAACTGCACAGCGAACAGCACGTCAACAGGTGCAGGCCAGCGCCTTCTCATGGTCTGCTCACAACATCAGCAGCTTCTCGGCTCTGAGAGCTTTCCTGGTTTGCCATTTTGTAACCCCAGCCGAGTCCCTACCCCCTTTTCATGGGGTAGTCCTTTCCACTGCATTGTAACCAATTGGGTTGAATAAAATTCTGTCTATTTGAAATACCTAGAATGGTTGATAGGACCCTGACTGATAGGATGGGAAGAATTCTAGCTCTTAGTCTATAAATGGCAACTTTGGGGGTCCTAGAAGATCTTCAGACTGGAGCATGGTGTGACAAGAGGACCACCATATGACAAGGGGCCAGACTGCAGGCAGACGCCAGAGAACCAAGGTAAGGAAAAAAAATAGCATGGCGGCACCCTAACCTAATCTGTCAAAGTTCTAGGTTTTTTGTTTTCCTAAAGTAGGTATAATTACAAAATTCTTTTCGTATAGTGAATAAAGGGAAACCATTTTGAAAGCCACATTTGAATCATGCTGTGGAATCAAATAAGCCTAGATTAAAATATTAGCTGGGTCACACACAAGCCATTAAATGTCACCAAGCCTCACTAGCCCTTTCTGTGAAATGGAGATAATATCATCATATTAAAGTGTATTTTATTGCATTCATTATTCATTATAGTATACTAGTGATTAATATTAAGTGAGATTAATAATAATTGCTCACATTTCTTGAGTGCTAGCATTGCCATTCACGGGCTAATGCTTCTGCATATTGCATATTGTGCAATCCACAACCCCGTGAAGCAGGTTTCACCATTATACGAATTTTACAGATGCAGGACCTGAGGGATGGAGAGGTTAAATAACTTGCTCCAGTCGTTGAACTAGTAAGTTTGAAGCCAATACTCTAACTTCTACAATCTGACTTCCAAACCAGCAACTTAATCACCATCAGACAATACCACCCTCATTGTATCAAAACTGCCTACTACAGTGCACGGCACATGTCAGATATGATTACATATTAATTAATTAAACTGCAAGGGTCACTTGGACTGAGGGCAGCTCGGCACACTCAACTAAGATCATCACAGCTTAGATGAGGATACGAGCTTTGACTTGGCCTTCCCTATGTCGTCACACACTGGGCCAGCATGGCAGCTGTAGCCCAGCATGACAGTGCTGTTGAGCCATCATGTCCCTGACCCAGAGGGGGTTGGAAGGGGTTCACATTTTCCCTTTCTGTATATGCACAAAAACACAGAAGAACACAGAAGACAGGAGACAGGAGCTTGCAGAGGTCAGACAATATGCCCTCCCCTTTTCCTTACTATAAGCCAAGTTCATCATTTGGAATAATCATTAAAATAACTAAATGCCAGAGCTGAATTGGAGAAATAACCTGATACAGCAAGAAAAACTGGAACCCTAAGGACCAAAGTATCTTTTTCTGAACCCTTCTCAGATCCTTTTCAATGACCTCCTCTTTAAGTCTTGCCTGAAAATCCTGCCTCCCTCTGCATTTCCCCTTGAAACATTTTGTGATATGATGGATGGAGAATGCCATATAAAAATAAATTGGATGGTACTTCCTCCTATTATCTATGATTCCTTGATCTTCCAACAGAGTTTTTAATAAACATTTGAATTATTTACAGTAATCTACAAAGGCATTTTAATAGTGCATATGGTAGAGGGAAGAGAGTGAAAAATGTCTTTGTTTTACTCTGACGGGGCCCATGAACCATGACACAAATGATTGCTCGCCTCGTTTGTAATTATTCATGGTAAAGATCTTCATTCAGTGGCAGAAATTTTCTGGCTCCGGCTCTTAGCAATTATGAGACCATAAGAATTATCTGCCACAATCTCACCAGAGGACAAACTGTACTGTACACAGAATTGGGGGCGTGGACTTCAGTGAAACAAATATAGATGCTGCCAACTGTTACTGCTTGTCAAGTTACTTTCAGTGGATCCCAAAGAGATAAGCATTTAGATTTTTCTTTTTCCCACCCACAGAGAGATTATGGTGTGGCCATTCTGATTGCATGGTTGATATTTGTGTTCAATTACATTGAAACAAATTTATTCAGCTGCTCTTAGTCATATTATTCTTTATGCATTCTTTATGCATGCAAGTTGGAGTCAAGTGTGGTTGGAATCAATGGAGATTGCCTCTGGAGCCAGGTGCCTTTACGGTAACACGCACTAGATGCTGACATGCGAATATTCCAGTCTTGGCTGATATATGAGGTCCTATTTACTTTGTTCTCCACCTAGCTTCCATTCCATCTACTTCCTGGTTTTTCACTTTATCTTCTGTTCTCAGCTCTGTGTCTTCTCTCTGGGGTTTTCTTTTAATGAATCATTTTCCTTTCTATAGCCTGGTTTTCTATGTTTTCTAAGAATCTGGGGACTCCTCCTCCCCTCTACATCCTTCTGCTAAAGCCTTTAGCTTCAGCCCCTTAGAAGCAATTGGCCAGCAACACCACTGGCCAGGGCAATTAACCAGGACAGAAAACTCAGTGACACTCTACTACTGGATACGTTGGAGTCACCTGAGATTTTTGAGCAAACCAGTGTCAAGGTTCCCACCCATATTAATGGAATTAGACTTTCTGGGGCTGAAGTCTGGAGATTGGTGCTTTTTGTTGTTTTGTTTTTTTGTTTTTTAGAATCTTGGGATGATTTTAATATTCCACTGGGGATGAACACCAGATCTAGTGTACGAGTGTAAGTGTGTATGTGTGTGCATGAGCAAGGTTATCTAAATAAAGATGATCATATAAGTACTGCACACTAACCAACTGTGCCACTGGAGAACCTATTCTACTAAGATGAAGTATCACAAGAATGGAAAAACAAGCACCACAGGTACTCACCATCACATTGGTTTTAACTGATCAACACTTAAATGCACGTATAGTAATAACATTCATCAGGTGTCAGGCAGATGGGAGGGGAGAGGAGGATATGGATATATTCACACCTAATGGGTGGGGTGCACACCGTCTAGGGGATGGACGCGCTTGAAGCTCTGACTCAGGTGGGGAAAGACAATATATATAGCCTAAACATTTGTACCCCCGTAATATGCTGAAATAAAAAAAAAAATAAAAACACTATCACACCATCCAGATAAAAAGGCATTGAAATCATTCTATATTTGAAGTATTTTAATGTATGATGATTGAGTCTTTCATTAATTATAATTTTGTGACCAAGTTAATAAAATAGAGCATTTGTTTTATCATTAGGTGGACACTGTGGGGGGGATGGGAAGTAGGGAAGAGAGAGCGACAGAGCGAGAGCGAGAGAGAGAGAGAGAGAGAGGTGGGGAAGACATACAATGAACCTCTTTAGTCAGAGGCTTCTTTTTTTTCTCTCAGAGGACTCTTTATCCCAAACGGATAGTACAGTATAAAAGCCTGCTGTGATGGGCTGAAGCATTTGAAGTAAAAGTTTCACAACATTCAAATGTGCGGTTGAAGGTTCCACTAGAGAGGAGCAAAGGAGGAGTGAAAGGACGACACTGACTGGAGGAACTGCAGCCACGCGCGGGCACAGGAGACGACGGCGTGTTTAAGTGGCGCCAAAAAGCCAAATGTGCAGAGGTAAGGAGCAGATTTGTAGGTTATCAATTGCAAGATTTTACACACACACACACACACACACACAGTGAAGGAGCTCTCTGGAAACCAGAATGAAACTCGGAGGACTTGGGTTGCCATTTGAACTTGGGCTTTGATGCTTTTAGCTTAAATTGACAATCTTGTTTCTGATCCTTTATAATTAGCAAAAAAACAATTAGAAGAGAATCTTGGGATTTTTATTACTATATTAGGCTGTTTCTATGATTCCATCAGTGCTTTTAATTTTCCTTTATAATTAATGTGTGTTTCCATATGAGGAAAAGCGTTTTTACTTATTACTTTCCTAATCTACCTCCTACTGTAAACAGTACCCCATGTACTTTCTGCATATTTTTAAGCAAAATAGCATGTCACATCTCACTGGAGCAGCACTAGGAAAAGCATGGGAATATAAATAAATAAAATTCATGTTGAATTTTTTTTTTCAGAACCTTGCTGTATGCAAAGCACTAGAGTAGGACTAAAACACGAAACATACAATATAATCATTCCTTCAGGAAGGCTTAAGGGACGCCTATTATATTCTAGCCTCTCTGTTGAATCTTATGTACATGACTTAATTTAATCCTTATAAGAAACAAATGATGATGGTACGTTACTCATTATATACAGATAAGAAAAATTGAGGCATTAGTTTTCAGACTCTAAGACCCATGTGCTTTCAATTATGTTAAATTTTGATGAGCACCTACGATGTGCTAAGTACATTATGCATTATACATACTCTCTCAATTAATTATGTAAAATTCCCTATTAGGATTATCATTTTATTGGTGAAGAGAATGAGGCTCAGATAGAATAAATAACTTTGCAGTCATAGAACAGTAATTTAAATCCAAGTCCGTCTGACTCCAGATCTCATGTTCTTTTTATCACCACTTGGCCAACTGAAAGTTGGAAGAGAGTAACAGGATAGGAAGAGGGGGGAAAGAAAGATAAAAGAAATAAGGCACATATTAAAAATAAGAGGTTAGACATTCACATTTATATTGCATGCTTCCAAGTAGTAGCCCTGGGCGTTTTTCTGAAATCACTTGTAGCTCTTATTTTGAGAACCAACTTAGAGGCTGTTCTAGGAAAAACATAAGAACAGCGGTTCCCAATAAGTGAAATTAAAAGCAAGTTTAAAAAATGAAAAAAAATGACGCAAAACATTTGCAAACAACAAAAGTAAGATTGGGGTAATTAATTTGGAATTAGTGAGCATATAGAGCTTTTAAAATAACAGGAAAAAGGCTACTTTAAAACGTGGTCTGCATGCAAATCAATCTGATTCCTTCACATTCATATCTCAGTGTTGGCTGAGTACAGCAATGTCTGGCTTGACAACCCTTATTCATCAGACTTGTACTTGGGTTGAAAAAAAACAGTCTAATCCTAATCCTCAATAAAATCATCTTTCAGAAGATAATTACATGCTAGCAGTGTATATCTTAGGAGAAATGATAGTACTTCCCTAAAATAGAGTTCTGCAAATGACTCGGGCAACAGCAGCATTATTTTTAGAAGTGCATGCCCTCCCAAAGGGGCTTGTTTTGAAGGGGATAAGATTATCTCAGAGCTCTCAAGTTTGTTAAGCATATATCACAGTATATTACAGCCTCACCCAGTTGTCTGCCAAACCAAAAGAAAAAGAGTTTAAAAAGCAAGTTGAAAACATTGATAGATTTAAACTTTGAAACACTTGTTTCTCTTGGTTGCTGCAGCACCACACTCACCTGGTTTCCAACCTGCTTCGCTGGTTGATCCCCTCCCCGGGTCACAGTTGACAGTTCTTCCTTTTCTCCCAGTTCGTCCTTTTCTCAGTACTGGAGCACTTCTTTATAATTCATTACTCCTTAGATGACACCATCTAGTTGCACACCTTTATCTATGTGTTGGCAGCTACCACCCCAATTTATATCTTGACCTAGATTGCTCCCCTCATGTTCAGGCTCTGAGTGCCAACTATCTACTTAATATCCCCACACGCATAACTGATACATCTTTAAAACTTATCGTGTCCGAAACCAAATTCTTGATCTTTCCTCCAACCTGATCATCTTATAATTTTCCTCGTCTTATTTAAGGACAATTTCATATTTTTTCTATCTGCTCAGACTTAAAACGTTGGGGTAATCTCTGATTTATTTCTCTATTTCTCCTACCATACACCCATTCCACCAACAAATCCTACTGGTTCTACCTTTAGAACATAACCAGAAACCAGCACTTGCCAATACCGCCACCCCCACCTCCCTGGCCAAATCACCACCATCCCACATGTGGATAATAATGATACTCTTCTAAGTGGTTTTGCTGTTTCCAACTTTGCTCATCTAGAGACAATTTCTAACATAGCAGCCAGTGCAATTTTTTTTTTCAAAATTTAAGTTATATCGTGTTCTTACTCTGTTTAAGACAAATGCTTTTCCATTTTACAAAAAGTAAAGCAAAAACCTTTGTGATGACCTACCAGATTGCTCAAAATCTAAACCCTCATTACTGCTGTGACCTCTTTATTGGCGACCCCTCCTCTCTCACTCCGGTCCAGCCACCGGGTCGTCTAGCTGTACCTTAGCACCTCAAAGTCCCACTAGCACCTCAAGACCTTTGCACTGACTGTTCTTTGAGCCAGGAACACTCTTTCCCATATGACCAATGCTATAGTTTTCTTTCCCATTTGAGAGATGGATTTAATTTATATTCTCCAAAAAAATAAATAAAATGGTCATAAAATGAAATAGACTCAATAGTTAGCTAATAACTTATTTTTGAATGAAAAGGGCACACCCCATAAAAGTAGAGGCCTCTCAAATTCCAAACCAAACCTGGCCCATTCACTACCAGCCAGGTACTAGAAGAAAGACCTGGAAATTAGAAGCTGAGATAAATCAGTGTCTTCCATGCCCATAGACTTGGTCTCAGGAAGGAGGCCTTGTCCCTTCAAGTAACCTAGGCTTAAGGACTCTAGGAAACCACATGTTGATTTTTCCTGAAAAGACCCTTAGATTACTAATTTTAAATGGAAGCTCCAGAATGCGTTTCTTTTTATATTTCCCGCCAGTTACTATACTCGAATAACAAGAGAAATTTATGTTATAGAAAAGCAGAGAATCACATGAAGAATAGTTCATGTCGGGCCAAGCCCTTAATGAATTAGTTAAAACCATTCTATATGTAAAATTTAAATGATAATAGCAACCTTCAAGCAACACATGCTTATTAGACCTACAATCTGCAAAGCACTATGGAATCACCATTGACCCTATAAACTAAAGAAGACAGGACCTTGGCCTCTAGGAGGTTATAAAGCCGAGATAGAACATAGAACTCTTAAATGTAATTAATAGGAGGGAAAGTTCCATTATTACGGTATGAATAGCTTTAGGCAGAAAAAAGAGGACCCTATTAATTTAAATAATAGGTTTAGGGGAAATTTCATGAGGTGACATCTTTTTATGTGAGCTTTGAAGGACAAATTGAATTTCAATAAATAGGCACAGAGAAGAGACAGGAAAGCCTTTTTTTATGTAGTTATTCATTCATCATCACACACACACACACACACACACACAAATACTTACTGAGAACGATCTGTGTTTCCATGAAATGTTTTAGGTGTGGGAGAGGTGTTTCTCATTCCGAAGGAGGATCTACAGAGATGAGAAAGCATGAGGAAATTTAGTGAAAAGAAATCAGCTGAAGAATTGTGAAGCTGAAAGGTGAAAGAGTAGTTAGTTGATAAAATAAGAGTGGGAGAGTGGGAACCGGAGTAGGAAATGGAGATGGTATCTTATCTTTGAAAGTGTGTGATTTTATTGAAAAGCTCTATAAAATTGTCAGTTACTATTATTATAATCAATAGTCTTGAATGGTGTGCTGAAATGTTTTGAGTTTATACAATAGCAAAGTTTTTTGGGCAGGGAAATGACATTCTCAATATTTTTCTTGGTAGGAAAAAAAAAATGCTCATATATCCCAAAGAGCACTGAGATAAAGGAGTTCCTCAAATGTAAATCCCACAAATGCCTCCAGGGAAGAGTTTGTTTTGTGTCTGCTTCAGGGCTCTCTTAACCCATTTAGACGAAAAAGGAAAACAGGGAAGCATCAGGTAACAGATGTGGTTATCAGGCAACTTGCTTTAAAGGGATTTTCTCAGAATGATTAAATGTGCCTGATGTCTCAAATACAATTGTCTTTGGACTTGAGTTATGAGTTTGTAAAGCAGTTGTT